TGGCTGGCTGGCTGGCTGGCTGGATGGCTGGATGGATGAATGGATGGATGGCTGGCTGGATGGCTGGATGTCTGGATGGATGGATGGCTGGATGGATGTCTGGATGGATGATGGATGGATGGATGTCTGGATGGATGTCTGGATGGATGATGGATGGATGGCTGGCTGGCTGGATGGATGGATGGATGTCTGGATGGATGATGGATGGATGCAGGAGGAGCTGCTCGTCTGATTCTTGCTTCAGGTTCAACACAAACAGTTTTATTTTAATATATTTTCATCATCAGTTTGTTCGAGGAACAAACAGGAAGCAGAACGTGTGTTTTAGTGTCGAGCGCTGAACTCACGTCTTCTTTGATTTTGCTTTTTAAAAAGAAGAAAACAAATTGATCTGTGATTATGTTCTGTTATTGATTATCGATCTTGTCTTGGTGGTTTATCTCATTTTAAACATTCTGGAGGAATCTACGTTCACAGATTTTGATTTCATTAAATGTAGTTTCTTTCTGCACGAACACGTGGAAGTTGTGTGGATTAAATCTGGATTAAATCTGGATTAAATCTGGACGTTTCTGCAGCTCAGACTGTCGAGTCTCAGAAGCTGCAGACTGGAACTGACTGGAACTGACTGGAACTGACTGGAACTGACTGGAACGTACTGGAACGTACTGGAACTAACTGGAACGTACTGGAACTAACTGGAACTGACTGGAACGTACTGGAACTAACTGGAACTGACTGGAACGTACTGGAACTAACTGGAACTGACTGGAACTGACTGGAACTGACTGGAACTGACTGGAACTGACTGGAACATACTGGAACTGACTGGAACGTACTGGAACGTACTGGAACTGACTGGAACATACTGGAACGTACTGGAACTGACTGGATGCTGTGGTTTCATGAGCGCGGAGAATCAAAGTGCTGGTTTTACTCTGCGAGCAGTCGAGCAGAAACTTCCGACAGATGCTGCTCTCAGTCTAAAATGTTTGAGTTTGTCCCCGCAGGGTTCGAGTCCTGCTGCGTGCGCGGTGTTACTGTTGAATCAGAGCGTGTGCACGAGAGCTGAAGGCCCTTTAATGAGTCCTGCAAACAGCAGCAGGGACAGGTGTCCCCTGGAAACTCATCTTTTTATTTGTCTTACAAACGAGACAACTGCAACTATTCATTTTTAACCACTAATTATTTTAAATGTACACGTTTCAAAATATCTAAATGTCCATCCATTTTCTTTACCCGTTTATTCCATTTTGGGTCACGGGGGTCGCTGGTGCCCATGTCCAGCAATCACTGTGTGAGGGGCAAGGGACACCCTGGACAGGTCTCCAGTCCATCACAGGGACACATAGAGACAAACGAGACCGTCTCTCTCTCTTAGGGACAGTTTGGAGTTCTAACGTGCACGTTTTTACTGTGGAGGAAACTGGAGTATCTGGAGAAAACCCACACATGCACGGAGAGAACATGTAAACTCCACACAGAAAGACCCCCGGCCAGGATTCGATCTGACGACCTTCTCGCTGAGCGGTGGCAGCTCCACCCTCTGAGCCACCGTGCTGCCCTGAAGCAAGTTTATTAAAACTTGTATCTTCAGACAGAACTTGTCAAATCTTTCACAGCAATGCATTCTGGGTAGAAAAGACAAACAGCTAACCTCGTTCATGAAAAACGTTAATTAAAAACATAAACATCAAAGCACCGTAACTTATCTAAAGTTCACCAAACCTCTAACTTTCCAAATATCTTTCCAAAGGAACGTCTGAACGTCAGTCGCTCCAGAACTCTCTCCGAGTCAGACGGACTCTTCCAAACTGCAACAAGTCCTTGTGGTTTTCACACAGACAAGTGTGAGGATGCCTCAGTCTGTCTGCCTGTCGCAGTAAGAGTGCTGTCAGGACGGGACAGATGCAGTCACATGGTTACCACGGCAACGAGCCCCTGGCAGCAGCTTGAACTCTTCTAGTTAAATTCAACAGGAACTTTTGAGTTATTGATGGTTTTTTAGAGGAGAACATTTCTGCTGCAACTTCTAGTAACTTCTAGCTGTCCCAGCTGCATTGTGGGTAATGTAGGCGCCAGACTTCATTAGGTTTATGGTTAGAAAAAGACAAACAGTTGGAGAAACATGTTTTTAAGTTGCCACGTTTTACTGATGACTGGAGGAGCTCGTTCTGCTTCAGTTCGCAGCTCAGAGCAGTTTGAACGCCTGAAGTGAGGCTCATAAACGAACTCAAGCTGATAAAATGCAGTTTATGCAAATGCAGCCGAGGCAGATAGGACATTTGAATAGAGGCGTCCTGCTGAGGACGCGTGGCTCCATGACCCGTCCTGTCCCGTGTTTACAACACAGAATATAAAAGTTTACGATTCCACTCACTCCATTCAGGTTTTTACTAACAGCCGGCGTGATTTCACACAGCTGGAATCACTGAAGTCGTCCTATCTCTGATGGAAATTAGTTCTTAAAGTTAAAATACTTCATTTGCAGTAAAATTATTTATTGCCACAACTATTTGACATGAATAAAGAAGTTATCAGTGGTAAACATTGTCTCTTTCGCCTTCGATGAAGTCGGTCGCTCTCTCCCTCCCTCCTGCTCTCTCAACCTCAGAGCGCTCTCTCAACCCTCTTTACACGTCTTCTGAATCAAAAATCCTTATGGATCTGGTCAGCTGGTCCCTCAGCGCAGTTGATAATTTATTTTCCACCAGACGACGGGGTGCTGGAGAGCCCTCATGCCCTGAAGGGACCCACGCAGCTGCGCATGTCATGGACTCCTAGATGATGTGCCCATCTGTTCTGTTGTGGAGGACGTAGAAGATGTGTTGGATTTATAATCACAGGGTTTCTGCTTTTTGGAATCGGTGGATACTTTGGATATTGACAAATTAGGAAGATGTCGGCAGCAGTTTCAGCCGTGGTAAAGCTGCCAGCCTTATGTGAAGGATTAGGTCTCGAGCTCTCACACTCATGTTCTTAACGAGTTCAACCACAAGCTGGACGTGATTTCTGAGAATCGTAGCCACTTCTGGAACTCACCAGCATAAAGGATTCAATCTGGGAGAATGTCCACATATCTGGCTGTTGGATTCATCATTGAGTGCACCAGCAGAACTAAAGGCAGACAGAAACCAGACACCCCCCCCCCCCCGACTTATCAGAACCGTGATGCTGATAGACACTGTACCATCTTATTAGAACTTTCTGGAGTCTTTATAGATAACTCACCGTCTTCGTTGTCCTCTGTGCATGAATGTATTATGACGTCATCGTATATTGCGAGGTCTTTTTTCATCTTTCACACCGTTTCCCGGCCAGGACATGGTGTGAGACACTGTTCTTTTGTCTTCCTCCATCCTCGTGTTCTCTTTCTCTCATCTACCTGCATGTTGTATGTAACAGGTCTCTCTCATGAGTCTTTGAGGCTCAATGGGAACTAACCTGTATAAATAAAGGTCTAATAAAAGGTCAAGATATGTGCAGCAAAATTATAACGATGTCTTGAACGTCCAAAACGAGAGACGGAAGTTTGACGTTTTGTTTTTAGATCTAAGAAATAGACAGTTTAGTTTGTTTTAGTTTTAAATCACACACATCTGTGAAGAACAAACATCTGTGGGTGATAAAGCTGAAGAGCTGGGCCATGGTTCAGGAGGTCACAGTATCATCAGCATACTGGATAACATTGATATAAAATGATCCAGATTATCTGTTCACTGACAGAACTGAGCCTCGAGGAATAAACACGTCATCCTTCTGTGTTTACACGCTAACATTTAGGAAACCACAAAACGATCAATAAAGATGAACGACAGGACTTATTGTCTAAAACGGGATACAATCATAATAGCTGCTATAATTTTCCCATTTAATCATTTATTTATAGTAATTGGGATAAGACGTGTTATATCGAACTTTGTTTATCAGAAACTGGTTTGATAAAAACACTAAACAGTTTTAAAAGGTGTTTTATTTTATTTGTAAAATTACATGAAAACATAACGAAGTCCATTTTTGTCAGTGTGAAAACAAGAACTGGTGCTTTTAGAAACTGATCGTGTCCTGCAGGACGCAGCATCCTGCAAAACACATTTAATCTGAATATTTTTCTGTCTCCGCAGATGGAAAAACACGAACTAAAGACAAGTACCGGGTGGTTTACACCGACCACCAGCGCCTGGAGCTGGAGAAGGAGTTCCATTACAGCAAGTACATCACCATCCGCAGGAAGGCGGAGCTCGCCACCACCCTCAGTCTGTCCGAGAGACAGGTGAGACGAGAAGAGAGCGCCGTGCATGACGCCACGGTTCTGCTGACCCGAAGACGAAGGGCAGCACCAGTTGTTGTTGGTTCCTCTTAAAGTCAGACTCAGAAATGACTTTATTTAAAAAAAACAGCACCTTCACCTGAAAACAGAAATGTTTGGGGTTTTCATGATTTTTAAATGAAAAAGGTGGTTATGGTTGAATAACACCATGTGGTGCTGAGGTTCTGACAGAATCCAATATTTTCAGGTGAAGATCTGGTTCCAGAACCGACGAGCGAAGGAGAGAAAAATCAACAAGAAGAAGCTCCAGCAGCCGGCCTCCTCCACGACCACGCCCACTCCGCCCACTGGAGGCGGCGCGGGAGGAGGCGGTCTCCATGGGAACGGCGGCAGCAGCGTCGCCATGGTGACGAGCAGCAGCGGCAACAACGGTTTGGTGTCTCCTTCCCTGGCGCTGAACATCAAGGAGGAGTACTGAGGAGGACACGGACGAGGTTTCGTTGGACGCCGATGTGGAAAACGGAATCTTTCTGCTTTTCCACGTTTCAAAGTACAAACTTCATTCAGCCTCCGCCTGGTTCCAGGAGCTGTCCTCCCAACGACTGTCGCAGATTTCTTTTTTATTGTGAAAAACGGCTGCAGACAGGAAGTTCAGTGCGTCTGATCAGCAGCAGCCGACTGGCAGGACTCCAGCAGACTTCTGTTAATATTTAGAGAAATAAAAGGAGAAATTATTGTTTTATTTGCTGAGTTCTTCATTCAAAACCATTCCTGATGTGCAGTTTAGTCCAGGTTGGACCAAACGGTCGGGTCCAGGTCCAGGTTCTTTGTCAGAACCGGTCGGCCCAGCAGATGTTGGTAACAAACACCGAGCTTCACGTTCTCGCCTCACCTCTGGGTTGGATTCTGGACTCCAGAAGAAAACATGAAACTTGTTTTAATGGCTGACACGTTGCAGATGTGTTTTTATGATCATTTTTTATGTTTTTAAGGTTTTTGGTTTTGCACGTTCGTGTTCACTTTGATGGCGTCCAAACAGTTTAATTATGTTGTTGAAACATTTACAGATGTTTTCCTTCGGGTATTTCCGAGTCTTGAGTGAAATCAGAGTAAAAAAGAGATAAAACCCCTGGATGGAGCCCAGTCAGCTGCAAAATGAACCATCAGATAAAGAACCATAGGAACCGCTTTCAGCTGAAACTCTAGTGTTTCTTTTTAAACAAACTGATTTGATTTAAATTTAATGTAGGCTCCTCACAGATTTTATTGTTGAAAGCTCTAAATGAGTTTCTGGGTAAATTTAGTTTTTACCCAAGTCTTTGGAAATATAAACATTAATCTTTATTAAATCATATTAAAGTGATCTTTATTTTAAAGTTCAAACACTTTAAACAGTTTTATTATCTTGTCCTCTGCAGAAATGTATCTTCCTGACTTGTTTTTACACCTTTAACATGATTTTACGATTCCTGTCAATAATTCTGTTTAAATATTGTCTCCTGAAACTGAACGGACCCACAGTTTAATCCTTTGATGGAATCACAGCAGGGACGAGCGTTTAGACCTTTTACATGATTTATCTTATTTAGAACGTTTAGTCCCGTCAGCGCATGGATGTGATAAAGCTCTGATTATTGTTTGTATCCTGTACGTAGCAGAGTCTGAATGAATGGGTAAACGAGGCGCAGGTAAAGAGCTTTGAGTGTCCTGATAGGATCGGAAGGCGTTATACACCGTCCATCTTTCAGATCCTTTTGTATTCTCTCCAGTTTTAGCTTCTCTCCATTGGCTCCCTGTCAAATCCAGAACAGAATTCAAAATCTTACTTCTAACCTACAAAGCTCTCAACAACCTAGCTCCATCTTATATTACAGATCTTATTGTTCCATATTTTACTAACAGAGCACTTCACTCTCAGACTGCAGGTTTACTTGTGGTTCCTAGAGTTTCCAGCAGCAGAATGGGAGGCAGATCTTTCAGTTCTCAGGCTCCTCTCTTGGGAACCAACTTCCAGTTTCTGTCCTGACACACTGTCCAGTTTTAGGACTGGGCTTAAAACTTTCCTTTTTGATAAATCCTATAGTTAGGGTCGGCTTGAGTTTCCTGAACTATCCCTTAGTTATGCTGCTGTAGACTTAGACTGCTGGACCAACTGACCACACGTCCTCTCTCTGCTGCTTCTTTACTTGCTCTGCCCTCCATGTTTGGATTTGTAATTATTTCAATCTTAATATGTTATTTGTCTTTCCTCCTGTAGAAAGTTCACCTGGACTATAGGAACCACACGTGGACCTGTCATTCTGTGTGTGTTTCTACTTCCTGTCCTCTTAAACCAGCTGGTTGAAGCAGATGTCCGCTCGTCCTGAGCTGGTTCTGTTGGAGGGTTCTTCCTGTTACAGGGAGTTTTTTCTTCCCACTGTCTCCTCTGTTCTTGTTCAGGATGAGACTGTGATGAAGAGGAGACTCAACACGATCTTCTGTTGTGACCTGGAGTTATGGAAACAAACTGAACTGAATTTAGATCATTATTTGTGGAGAGAGGAGGCGCAGAGGTTAGAGAAGGTGGGCCTGTGATCGGGAAGTCACTGGTTCAACTCCCCGGACCGACAACATCAAAAGCACCCACACCTGCCTCCACCCTCATCTGCCCCACTCTGGGCCCTTGAGCAAGGCCTTTAACCCTCTGCTCCTCCGTGTGGTAGCTCGGTGTCTGTGGTAGATCAGGAAGAACATCCAGAGGAAAAACAGTCACCGAGAGAGTTACTTCTCTGTGGAGACCCTGAAGAAGGAGCAGCTGAAAGAAGAAGAAGAAGAAGAGACTACACATTCATGGTTCTGTAGAAAAATGGCCGTAGGTTCACAGTTCGTGTGAAAACCCTGAGATGAAGCGGAGCGGCGTTGTTGTTCGTCCTGATCTTCATCGGCCCCGTGCTTCAAATCAGACGGACGCTCTTATTCTGACAATTCAATCCTTTCAAAATAATTTCCTGATGGCAGCAGTTCTTGGTCTTGTTCTTCTTGGAGGGGGGGTCTGGCTGCTGGTTTCTGTCACGCTCTCTGACTGAGAAACACCAGAAACATTCCACGTACGAGACGTGTCCGTTTAACCGGACTCAAAGATCGTCTCAGCCTCGTCTGCGGGAGCTCCAGTTTCACCAGTCCTTGAATAAAAACCAGTTCCAGCCCAGTTCGATGAAGGGTCTAACTCCAGGCTGAAGTTGTTTCATATTTAACCGTTCGGGGTGAAACTTTCAGTTTGTTAAACGAGCGGACGTGTTTCATGAAGCTCTGGTTCACCGTCCAGTCTGAAGAAACCGACCCTGGTGGAGGTTTCACCTTCAGATCAACTGGTGGTTCTGGTTCTGCTGACAAACTTCTTCAGAAAACTCTAGAAATGTGACTTCATCTTTGAAACGTTTCTTCTCTCTACACGACTCTAACTTTGGGTTTTAGGACAAAAGAAGAGAAACTTTAATGAAAGAACAACTTTCACACCAACAGGTTCTGATGTTTGGTCCAAACCGTAGAGAAACTCTTTAAAGGTTCAGTTTGTTGAAACTTTATGAGATTTATCAAACTTGTCTTTCTCCTAACGTTCAATGTTTCTGATCAGACTTCAACATGTGCACATTTGAAATGTAATTTGTATTAAATAAAAGCTTTGTTGTCAAAACGACGGATGATTTCTGAGCTTCGTGTTTTTCAACGAGGACAAAGAATCTGATTTGGTCCAAAACCTGAAGCTGCTTTAATCTGAAACTGAATCCCTGCAGACAGGAACACCGGTCCTACCTGAACCGGTCCAGGTCCACCTTCAGCTCAGAAGCTGTGCAGGATCTAAAGATCAAACCCGGTTGGGTTTTATGACCCATCAGGTCCAGAATCACTCAGCATCAAACACGTGGAAACCTTTGTTTGACCTGTTTAGTGCTCAAAGCTGGACCCAGACAGATTCTGGACCCAGACAGGTTCTGGACCCAGACAGGTTCTGGACCCAGACGAGTTGTGTTTGGTTCTCCACATGAGTGTCCAACGTTACCCTGAATCAAAACCACGTGGGGAGCCGGGCCGCTGAGGAACCATGCTGAATCCATAAAGAACGGATGGGCCCACGGGTTCTGTGTATCTCAGACGTTCTCTGCATCAAATCCAGACGGCCACTAAGACCAGGCCCGGACAGAACCAACTGTGGCCCGTTATCCACCTCGGTCAGGTGAGCCTGGCCTTTAACTGAAAGTGAACAAAGAGCGAACGAGGAGTCGGTTCATCTTTAACACAAAACGTTCTCTGTGTTGGTTCTGGTAGAACATTTGATCCTGATCCCGTTCTACGGACGTGAACCTGAATAAAGGCTGAGAGCTCATGAATGTGCAGGAAAATAAAATCCAGCTTAATGAGAATATTTCACCAGATTACCACAATACTTTGAGCTGAGCTGGAACGATCACAGCAGAGAGCCTGAAACTGGTCTGAATGGACGAGATCCACATCCAACAGAAATCACTTCCATATTTCAGAACCCCCCCCCCCCCACACACACACACACATATATTTGTTACCTGGCTCATCAGTTGAGGTGTGGTGTCCAAAGGGCACAGAGGAACTCTGGGTAAACAGAGCTCAGGATCCTGCTATCTGCTGTTCTGTGTGTTCATGTGTCCACACTGAGACCTTTGTCCTCCTGGGCCCACTTTGCCTCCATCAACAGTCCTATCTTAGCTCTGATACAGACTATCTGCACGCGTGCATGTGTGCGTGTGCGTGTGTGTGTGTAAGTTACCAATAGAGACAGGCAAAGACACGTTGAACTTGAGGCTTCGGCTAAAACAAACAACAACAACAAAATGAAACACTAAACGTTATAAAATCTAACACAAACATTACATATTCACCACCATCAGCTGTGAGGGTTTTCTAGAAATTATGACTGTCTTTATTAAAACGATTAAAAACTAAATGAAAAGCAACGAGAACTCAGCCTTGAGGAACTCCTCACATCATCAGCTTCAAACTCCAGATGTCAGTTCAAAATTAAGAAAATTAACATGAATGTGCACATATTTAAATTGTAAATTTAGGCATAAAGTTAATAATAATAGTATAAAGTTAATAATAATAGTATAAAGTTAATAATAATAGTATAAAGTTAATAATAATAGTATAAAGTTAATAAAAAGTAAAGAGTTCATAGAATTAAAATTCAAATCGAAGTTCAAATGATTCCATCCAGAAAGGACTCTGACTCATTTATAACATGATGGAGTTAAATTCGCAGCAGATAAATAGTGTTAACGTATTATTTTATATATGAATGTTTCTGCTTGGTGCCCTGAGGACACTTCAGTTGTGACTTGGAACTCTATAAATGAACTGAACTGACATGTCTTTGTTTTTAACCCACCTCTAAAAAAACCCGGAACCGTTCAAATTCAAACGATGCCCAACCTCATTCTACACACAACCATCCGATGCTGTCTGGCCACGCTCTCCCCTGCCACAACCTTACAGTCTTCAACCTCCCTCAGGTTTCCTCTTCTACACAGAATGTAGTCGACCTGCGTACTCCTTCCTCCACTCTTATAGGTCACTCTATGCTCCTCCCTCTTTTGGAAACAGGTGTTGACTACAGCCATTTCCATTCTCTTGGTGAAATCCACCACCATCTGTCCTTCCTGGTTTCTTTCCTTGACACCAAACCTACCCATCACTTCCTCATCCTCTGT